GCACAAGTGGCCCATACATTAGATTGATCCCACAAGGTTCTTGCAGCTACCACACATACTTCGGACCATTAGCTGACAAATTCACGTGAACGTCGTCTTGCTCTCCTTGGGAAAGAAAGATATAAAAGTGCTCTCTTCTACGGACTTCCTTGTCTTGGTTCTCAGTTCATCATCCAGTAACGGTTAGACCTCTTCGATTACAACATATCAACTATATATTGCAACATCTCATCGTTCATCGACTTCAACCTTCTACTTCTACTATTTTCGAGTAGAAACACCAAATCAACGACAAAAATGGCTCCCTTTGGAACAATCTACTCTTATCCCAACAACCCTCGCGTTTTGCGAGTAAGTCTACCGCATATGCCTCCCTCCCGTCCCTTGATGAGTTGGTGCTGACGTAACTTGCAGGTGGAAGTAATTGCCGATATGAACGGCTTAGAGTTGGAACTTGGAGAGTACGAGTTCGGCGTGACCAATAAGACACCCGATTTTCTGGCCAAGTTCCCTCTCGGCAAGGTCCCGGCTTTTGAAAGCGCAGACGGTCTATGTCTTGTCGAGAGCGTCGCCATCGCCAGATATGTTGCGCAGTCTGGTCCCAGGGCCGATCAGCTTCTAGGCGAAGGTATGTACTTGCTGTCCAAGTTCAACGACAAAAAATGATCTAGACCTGCTAGGCTGATAACACGCCTTGCTTTTCAGATGCCAAGACACAGGCCCTCATTGAGCAATGGGTGGTATTCAGCGAAGCCGAGCTATCACTCAACGTCATTGTCCCAGTTCTCATGCGTGGTTGTAAGTAGTAGCGTACCTCACAATCATCTTTCTCCCTCCCATCCCTCGAACCACCAACCCATAGAAGCTTTTGCTAACCTCCTTTTGCTATAAGTAAACATTTGGGAGTACGAAGAGAAGCGGTACAAGACACACTTCGACGCACTCATGCGAGATGCGAAATACCTCGACAAGATCCTCGAAGGCGGCAAGAAGTACCTCGTCGGCGACCAATACACTCTGGCCGACATCATGGTCTGCTCCTTTATGTACTGGGCCTCCAAATTCATCTTCAGCGCCGAGCTCCGCAAGCAGTTGCCCAACCTGGCCGCATATATCAAGGCTTTTGCTAGTGTCGAGGTGCACAAGAAGCACTTTGGCGAGCTTTTGTTGAACGGACTTCCCAACTCACACTAAACTAGCCGCGGGGATGTTATGTAGGTATATATGAATATTCGGTGTTTGTTAGATGGACAAAAATTGCATTACAAGGGTTTATATGGACGGGATAAAAGTAAATAAAAAAGATGTTGATGATGGTTACGACTGCTGTTGTTGTTGTTCTTGTTGTGCTTCTCCGTCTTCCCCCTTCCTATCACTAATCCACCTCCCCTCACTATCTTGATAAAACTTCTCGGGCGCGGTGGGCCACACGAGATGTTTATCGCAGAAATGAGCCGTCTCCTTGGGCTTCCCATCTATTATCGGTTTGCACTTCACATTACTACCTCCTCTCTCTGCGCACTGGTAGAACTCGGTCCGCTTGATGCATCCGCAGATATATTCGACTCTGTCCCAGTGACACATTTTGTCTTTTTACGGGAGTTGTTAGACGTCGTGTTATATAATAAAATGCCCGGCGCGTAACGTACTAGATGCCGAGGATGTAGGTATATAATATTTGTTGTAAATAGGTTAGGTAAGGTTAAGTATACCTAGTTGTTTTCCTTCGGGTCTGGTTTCCCGGAGATTATGGATTTCCGGTGCGGAGTACGGTACCGGAACTACCACAAGCCGATGTATAAATGCTTTGCGTAGGTTGGTATAGCAATATGTAGCACGTGGATGTTTAAGGAGGATATGATCAAAAGTTTTAAAAATAAAAACAGCTTATTCAATCAAGACAATTTACTTTCGTTCATAATGCGGGGAGACGGGATGGTATGGTGATCTTGCAGAAAATCTGGAGTAATGAGATCGACTCCAACTCAACCAACTTGTATCCCTGGGTTAACCTTTAATAACCTAAGACAAAAATCCGCGGGGTCGGTCGGACCCTTACTTCCCGATATCAAACAAGACCAGATAACCGGGTATAGGTAATGTATAAAACAATGGCCCCGGTGGTATCCGTGACTGTCCTCCGTTTCTTTCACCTAGACACTGAATCTTGATATTCGGGACATATACAAAGACATCATGCGGCTCAGCTGGTATACCTTGGGCATAGCCCTGACAGCATCTCTGGGGACGTTTTTGTTTGCAAGTTTGGCCAGTTTCCCTTTTGTGTTTACAGGCTTTTTTCTAACATTACCAGGGCTTTGATACCGGGATCATTACGACAAGTAGGTATACAACCATATATCGACTATTATTTTCCCGACAAGACAATCTGACAGAGAAATAATAAATAGCAATTGCGCATCAAAGCTGGATCGATTACATGGGTCATCCGTCCAAGGGCATTACCGGTGCAGTGAGTTTTTATTTTTATCCATCCATCTATCTGGCTAACTTCTCCCCCATTCTAACTTGGGTATCTATCTAAAGGTCGTGGCTGTCTACATCGCCGGGGAAGCCGTAGGCGCGATCCTACAAATCTTCATGGGAGACAGGCTCGGACGGAAACGTTTCATGCAACTCGCTTGCATCATCGTCACCGTTGGCGCGGTGATTCAGGCCGCAGCCGTCAATATCGGAATGTTGCTGGCGGGACGTGTCCTCGCTGGTATTGCTGTGGGGTGAGTGAGCATTTATTTCACTTTACACTTACACTTACACTTACACTTACAGCTGACCTTTACCGTACATACCAGCGCCCTAAGCGGCACAGTCCCAATCTATCTATCAGAAATCAGCCCTCCCCAAACCCGCGGCCTAGTCGGCGGTATAGGCGGCGTCGGCATATCATTTGGTACAATGACAGCCAACTGGATCGGGTTCGCGGGAAGTTATGCCCCCTACGGACCCGTTCAATGGCGACTACCTCTCGCGCTGCAAGCTCCGTGGGGTATAATACTCTTCGTCTGTCTAGCTACTTATATGCCTCATAGTCCGCGACAGCTTATCCAGAGGGGTAAGATTGCGGAGGCAAGAAAGGAGTTTGCCAAGACTGGCGATGGGATGTCGGCCCACGAGGTCGAGGAGGAGTTTAATATGATGAGGGCACAGATTGAGTATGAGAAGAATCGGGATATTCTTTCGTATAGGGAGATTTTCAAGTTGTATAGGAGGAGGGTGCTTGTGTAAGTTTTTTGCATGAAAGTGGGAATGAACGAAATATATATATACTGATTCTTGGTTTGGGGGTTAGGTCTATCTCTGTTCAGGTGTTGACTAGTGTCACTGGCATCAACGTTATCCAGGTGAGGCGACTATTACCTTCCGTTTAGTTGAGAACTTGAGACAGAGGAGACATCTAACGCTTCTGTCGATATGCAGTATTACCAAAGTGAGTACCCCCTATTCATGGTATATGATATCTACCAATTCCTCGCTAAATCATCACCAGCTTCGACATACAAATCCCTAGGCATGGACGCAAAGACTATCCTAGCCCTGGTCGCAGCCTGGGGAACATGCGCCTTTATATCCAATGCGATATCAGTTGTATACCTGCCCGATTTCTGGGGTCGTCGCAAGTGAGTCCCGAATCCCGATGACATTCCTTCCTTCTTCCGACGAGAAAAGAAGCTAACGACGGTGTCGAAAAGGATGTTACTTGCCGGTGTAGCCTGTGTCATCGTCACGGAAATTTACTCGGCCGTCCTCCAACGAGTATACGAAAATACCGATAACCGAGTAGGCAAAGGCTTTGCTATTCTAGGCATATATCTGTTCGTCGTCTGTTATTGTAAGCATCCATTTTCATTTCCTTTTACCATCTGAGTGTCTAGCTATATGAGACCGATGATCTAATAATCCTCCCCAACTAGACGGTCTCATCAACAGCACAACATGGCTCTACGGCTCAGAGGTCCTCCCCATCTCCATCCGAAATAAAATCGTCGGAGTTTCTGCCGCTGCGCACTATATAGTCAACGTTGCCTGTAAGAACATCTACCTATCCATCCATCTATTTATCTCTTTACTTTTCAAAGAACAGGACTAACATGTTATTTTTCTAGTCACACAAGCAGGGCCGACTGCTTTTGCTAATATCCACGAAAACTATTACTACGTTTTCGTCGGCATCTGCGTTATCTATTTCGTTCTTATATACTTATATTTCCCGTAACTCTCTCACCCGCCAACCCCTTTGGTTGTTACCGTTAACTAACCAACTATATATGTAGGGAAACTAAGCAGAAGAGTCTTGAAGAAATCGCTGCGGCGTTTGGGGATCGTGTGGTCGATGTCGATGAGCGGGATGTTAAAGCCAATGTAGGTCTTCGAGAGGAGAAGATGGGTGAGATCTGACGAGGAGGTTATGTTGAGTCGTATTAGGTAGATCATATAAGTAGAATCCGAAAGGGGTTGAACACTGCGCTCAGGTTCTTGACTGCTGGAACAAAGGGAGATGTTCTAGTTCCAAGAGACGAGAACGAAATGGTCGAAATTATTTCCTCATCTACCTGTGATGGTAGTCGTAATAACATGGTTGAGCTCTTACAATGAAGGCAGGTTACAAGGGGGGGGGGTTAACCTCATGTTGTCACATCGGTCCTTTAGGTACTGTACCTAGGCGAACAGTTAGCGAGATGCCGACGATCAAAACCTCGTACTTGGGTATGTAACTTGAGTAACCTAGCTATAAGTCGACCGCAGACTTTTAAGAGGTGTATGAAACCACTCCCATCCCATAATATATACACACACACACACACACACACACGTACCTACCTTACCTACCATATCCACCTAAAAAACAAAAGCTTTCTCCCGCTTCCCGAGTCCCCATCCCTCGCTAAGGCGGACGGATCCACACCACCTCCCTACCTACCTCCCTACCTACGAGTCAACCACAAAACCCCGGATAGAAACTCGTCAATCCAACAAACAGCGCCCGGTTAGCTCAATCGGTAGAGCGTGAGACTCTTAATCTCAAGGTTGCGGGTAAGCTTTCCTTCCATTAAGAAGATTACGAGGGAAAAAAAGTAACTAACAGATGATGAAATAGGTTCGACCCCCGCATTGGGCTCAATTCCTGATGCTTCCTAGATTATAACTAGGGATTGCAACCAGTATATTTTTCGTCTTTTTAAATATTCTCTTGAATTTTAACAGTCTCTTTTAAGAGTCGTCTTCTTTTTTTGCTTGTTTTTACATACTTTGCTTGATTAGTAGCAACACGTAGAATCTGTCTTAGTATATGCCACCTTAGTAGTAGACTAGAATTTTGCTATGGAAATTTTAAAACGGAAAAAAAAAAAAAAGTTTATAACCAACCTGCAACCACAAACTCTAAACCCAGAACCTACAAACCAAGGCCCTGCCACCCGTCACTTCCAGCATAGATCATCACAAACCGCCTCTTTCCCATCAATCAAGAAAAAAGACATTTCCAAGGCAACGTGGCTGAGTGGTTAAAGCGTATGACTAGAAATCATATCCCTTCGGGGTCACAGGTTCGAGTCCTGTCGTTGTCGGTCAAATCTACTTTGATAGTAGATCTTCACGGTCTGGTGGTCTAGTGGTATGATTCTCGCTTAGGGTTCACCCTATAGCATTGCTTGCGAGAGGTCCCGGGTTCAATCCCCGGCCAGACCCTTCTTTTTGCTCTGTTCCTGTCTCTCCGTACTGATTGATCTTTTTGGTTTCTTGCGTAGACGGCAGGGGGGGGGGTTTTGAGTTCTGGTGGGGCGAGAACTTTGAACATGTTGTTTGTTGTTTACCATAAAACCTGTCGTGTCTGGCATAACTTTTTAACTTTTATCGCGGTTTTAAAGGTTGAAGAATGGAAAGGCGTACATGATTGATTACTTATATCTCACGTGCATTTGATAGAGGTATGGTATGTAAGAGAACGGAAAAACGAACGAATGGACGGGAACGAACCGGCATCGCGCCCTCCGATGGACATGTTCTATCCCGGCCCAAGAGAGCAACACACACAGATATTTAAGTGCAGCCCGACGCGGGGATACATACCCCTAACTAATTATCATCATCATCAATCAACCCCTTTAACCTACTCGTAGATAGGTATACTCACATTTTACAAAGTAGATTACATTTCTTTCCTAAGTACCTACCCTCACATAATATTGATAGACCAGAACAGAAAAAAAAAATGACACAGACCCACTTCGTAATCGTCGCATTACAGACATTCTTCTGTCCCTGGTCGGAATTCAGCTTACCAGCGCCTTACACGTGCGAATTCCGCGATTACGCGAGTACGAGGCCGGACCAAGTGGCCGAACGTATCCGAGATGCGGATATCGTGATAGCCACGCTCTCGCCTTTTACGGCGGAGATTCTGAACCCGGAGATGACCCCGCGTTTAAAGAGTAAGGAAAAACGAAACCCCCCCCATTTTAAACCTACTGGGCGCGCTCGTTTACTTTACCTACTAAAATGGGTTGTATAAAAAAAAAAGTGATATCCGTCATAGCATCAGGCACCGACAACGTCGACCTAGCAGCGTGTCGAGCGCGGGGTATAGTGGTGGGAAACGCGCCGCACTGCAACGAAGCGACGGTGACAGAGCACGCGTTGGCGCTATATTTCGCCACGCGCCGCTCCCTCACCTTGACGCATTCGCTCGTGCGCTCGGGGAACTGGCCGTCGCAGCAACAACATCGGATCATGGACGGGGCGCGCGGTGCGCCGCCCATGACGATGCGTGATGAACTCGTGGGGATTATCGGGTACGGGAGCGTGGGGAGGACGATTGAGAAGAGGGCGAGATTGTTGGGGATGAAGTGTGTTATTGCGGCGCGCAAAGGCAAGGATGCGGGTACGGGTATGGGTATTCTCCCTCCTCCTCCTCCTGTGGGTAGGGCTTCTTTTGATACGGTTATACGGGAATGTTCGGTTTTGATGATTTGTTTGCCGCGCGCTCCCGAGACGATGAATTTATTGTCGGGGGCAGAGTTTGAAGTTATGAAGAGGCATGTTGTGGTTATTAATGTTTCGCGTGGGGGGATCGTGGATGAGAAGGCTGTTGTCAGGGCGTTGACGGATGGGAGGATTGCTGGGTATGGTACGGATGTGTTTGCGCAGGAGCCGGCTGAGCCGGAGACGAGTGTTTTGCTTGCTCCGGACACGAGGGATCTTAATCTGGTGATGACGCCGCATGTGGCTTGGTATGGGGAGGAGACTTTGAATAATTATCGGAGGACTTGTAAGGAGAATATCGTGGAGTTTTTGATGAGAGGGAGGGCAAAGTATGAGGTTGTAGGTTAGTTACGAATGAATACCCAGACACCCAGACACCCAGACAAACCTTGGAAATCTAGACTTTGATAGAAGAAGCAGAATACACAAAGTTGCCGGTCGTATTTATTGATTCGGACCAAGTAAGAAGATTTCTTGGGGACGCGGAATATCTTCCTTATACGTCCGGCTTTATTGATAAACTGCAATGGGGGATAATCTAGGGGACGCGCATTGTTTTCTTGCGTACTGCGGTTTTGAGTAAGGGTCATTACTTACCTAGGCTTATAGAGTGCCTATCGTATGAAATTGGTTCCTTTGATTAGGTACTTGGAAGTTCAAATCTGGTGTTGATGAAATAACCGATCAACATCTCTCTTTGATTTCGGTGTCTGAACCGTTTAGGTTATCTACCAAGCTTTAGGGAATTTGATACCGATGATCTAGATGTATATATGTTTTCAGGGAACATGATATGTGATTTTGAGATTTGTCATTGTTTTCTTTTCAGTGGAATGCGTCAAAGTAGGTAAGGTACCTAATGAGTTGGAATATACGAGTCCAGAACACCCTTTCTTCATGATCAAGCTTCATGATGAAGAGGTATGTCTGTCTGCGTCGCGGTAGGTATCTCAGGTCGCCAAGCAGAGTTGATACTGTGTCCAATTCTGTCTGATGTTCTCACCGTGTTGAATATTGCACAGCCACATAATTGTGGCTTAAAATGCTGATATGGCTGTGTTACAACATGACGAGAGGCCCGACAGAGAGTGTCTGAATATGTTCTAGTGTATTATCATCTCAATCCGTCGTACTCGGTGTATACGAACAGATACCTCCCTACCCAATAAGATTATATGTTCAGTGTTGTTTACGTTACCTGACATATGAGCTGAATATCGGTGACCCTTCTTTTGACCTTGTTGCCAGCTGCTTTATTAAGCAAGGACATTCACCACATCTCTCCAAGAGCCAGACTGGGGAAGTCGTGTCGTCATCTCGTCCTCGACCCTGTTCGACCGGGAACCAATAGAATTACGGCATATCATATTATCATTCCCAAACCGGCAATGAACGACCGACGTAAAACAAACGTAGCTTGCGAAGCGCTTGTGAATGAGATGCTCGGTTACAACCAACCCCACCACATTGACCTCCTTTTTCTTCTCCAGTTTGGGTTCAACCGATGGACACCTTCCATGAGTGGCCTGGAATGGTAGTACCGACGTTGATTGGCAATTACACACGTATGTATACCTATTCTTGGTCACTTAAAACTTACTCAGACCGCGGTATGATGTAGCCAGGCTGCCAGGCCGGATACTCTCATATCCGCATATTGGCATCGGATGAAAGGCTTGGTAAATCTGTTCAAGTCTTGCTGACAATCTTCGAGGCCCGGTACGTTCAGCAGATGAAATGAAGAAAAACAGCGACAAGCCACGGTCGATATTCCGTGACCAATACGGTACCGTGGTCTGCCTCCTCCATACGCGGACCCTTGCCATTCTCCTATGACCATGTGGCGACCATAAACGGTTACTACTACGTACGTGTATCGCCGTAGCGATCCCGCCAAGAGACCCTATGATGTTTTCTTAAAAACAAACCCTTGATAGTGTGACCTCATACCTCCAAATTATCATGTACAGTTCTTGAACTTACCATCTACTCTCTACAACCCGCCATGTTCTAGAAATGCCTATCTTCAATGAATGATAAAAACAATACGACCGCGTATATACACGATAACCCGTCGTTATGACATCGACACAAGGATCTGATAACAGTTTGGAAAATAGTGAAAGGCGTTTTAGCCATGGACGTCCGCGATTCAACTCCAACAGTACGGCGGACAGGTTAGAGGAGGGATCGAGACTTTCGGGATTACCATTTTCTTCGTCGGGCAGTAGAATACGAAAAGGAAGAAGATCGGTCTTTCGGGAAGTTGGACTAGAAGAGGATGAGGGTGAAGATGGTAGTAGTCGGAGTTCAAGCGAAAAGGAGAAGAGCCGGATTTCAGTCGAGAGGGCGCCGACGACATACGAACAAGATGAAATTCCGACCGAGGCGGATTCGACGCGCGAAAAGCCTCGATGGTTGACAAGATTAGCCTCTATAAGGCGACCGAACGTCAAGACTGGCACTGGTGCGACACCACCGCCACGTGCGGTATCGGGAATACACAGGTTGACTCTGATTGCCTTGTTTATCGCCATTATCCTTCCCGCCATAAGATATAACAGTGGTCAACGGAATGGGGACATGAACGGCGCGGAAGCAGGTGTCATCAGGGAGCCCATAGTGCCATCTAATCTCGAAACTCGCAATGATAGCCCGACCCAAGTTTGCAAAAGATGGGCTGGACAAAGTGAGTATTCATATATCTCATTCACGTTTTTTTTAGTAGAGAGATGCTAACTGTCACAGGTGCCGTGGTGAACGGTACTCTATATTACTATGGCGGGCGGTCGATGACCAGCGCAGATCAGGATCCAGAAAATACATGGAGTATGTTTACCCCCGAGAGACCCAAGCGCAAAGATGGTACAACTAACAAACACCCCAACAACAATAGACAACGACTTCATCACAATAGACTTGACAAAGTCTTGGGATATCGAGTCCCCATCCATAAAGGGTCTGCCCAAGCCCGATGGCCCGCCGGCAGTATCACTCGGTTATCTGTGGAACGATCTCGACCACTTGTATCTATACGGAGGCCAATTCCAACTAGACACCAGTCCAACGCCGGTCTCGATATGGCAGTACGACATAGCCTCATCCACATGGACCGAGTTCGAGAACCCGAAAACTTCC